ATAGACACAATTGAATCATCATGCTGAATCTGCAGCAGCTACAATCTTCTGTAATAATAACCAATGCTTGCTAAATATTCTGGAAGATTACAAGATCCTTAAGGACCTTCTGAAAACCAAAGAGCAATCAAATTGTGTGTACTTGGCTTGGTGTTGCTATTTTCTTACCATACAAATTTATGGTAATATTAATAATAAAAGGTAGCATTGTTCGAATTCTAGTATGCCAAGTATCTAGTCTCCTAGAAAGTGGAGGAGTCAAACCTACATACACCTTGGTCAAGAAATAGGATTTGGTTTTGTTATTTGGTACCACTGGGGTTTGAACTCAGTACCTAGCACTTGCTTAGCAGACACTCAGACTACTGAGCCATGCCTCCAGCTGTCCTCTCAATAGTAGAGAGTAGAACTATCAGACTAGCCTGTTTGAACACTCACTGCTTAAAAGGGAATTCACCATGTCAACCTGGAACAGAAGACTAATAAAAGGAATACCTAGATGAATAAAATGGCTACTTAAGCAAAAAGAAAAAGTGTCTAATAGTTCATTATCTTTTTGTCTGGGTTTGTGCTCGTACTGGGGTTTGAATTCAGGGCCTCCCACTCTTGTTTAGCTTGTTTGTTCCATGCAGGTTTTGCTTTTTCCACTCAAGGCTGGTACTCTACTACTTGAGCCATACCTCCATTTGCAGCTTTTTACTGGTTAATGGAAAATAAGTGTATCTTGGATTTGTCTGCCAGGGCTATCTTTAGACTACAATAGTCAGATCTCAGAATCCTGATTATAAGTGTGAGCTAGCGAGCCCCCAGCTAATTGTTCACTATTTTTAATGCTGCATCTGATTGCAAAGGTAACCTACTCAAAGCTTTTAGAAGATTTATAGATTTAACCAAGTGAACATGATGGTGTGTTAAGTTGAGAAAGGTATTGAAATCTATCACTCCACAGGTCAAAGGCAAACACACAAATTCCTGAGCATCAGTTTCTCCAGGGGTAAATGGGGGCTATCTCCCTTCTCAAACTGCTATGAAAGTAGATGAGTAGAATTCTTAGGGCTTTCCTGAGATTTAGATTAATTTATTATTATTAAATACAAGAAAATATTGAGACTGTTTTTTAACAGTATTATGGTTCTGTAAAATCATGAAAAGCCTATTAAAATGCTGAATATAATTCTATAAAATGCCTAAAAACCCATGTGTAGGCCAGCATTCTGGTAGCTACAAAATACATACAGATAATCTGAAGTGTCAAGCTTTTAAGTTATAAAAAATAAGTATAAAAATGAAATCATTATTTGTATGAAGTTTTAGGATTAGGAAAAAATGTATTCTACATTTTTAAACCTAGATTTTTCTTAACACCAAGATGTTGTATTTATTATAAAAATACAAATAAGAAGAACATGTAAAAAAAATACTGTCACTGGGTGAGGTAGGACGCATCTGTAACCCAGCTCTGGGAAGGCAGCAATGAGTGTCACAGATCATAGTTTGAGGCCAGCATTGAATACATAGTGAAACCTTGTCTCAAATAAATAGCCAATAAGCAATTAAAATTAAAAAAGGTATTCCTTGCAAGTAAGTAAATAATAGCATAGTTGCATTTTTTTTATTTAAAATTAAGAGAAAAACTGTTTAAGATATTCATGCTGATAAGGTTGTACTAAAAACTGGTATGCTTATTTTCTCTATTATTTTGTTGTTTGGGGAATTGGTACTCTCTGAGACATAAAACAACATATAACTTGAGTCGTAAAACATCTTACGCACAGGTCTTTCTCCAAGGAAAATAACTCAACAGAAGCAAAAAGAGGTATAAATAAAAACTTTACACAGGCAAAGCTTTTCTTTTCCCTTTTTCTCTCCCAACACCAAAAACAAAACACAAAAATAAAAACAAAACCCAAAACAGAAATAATAAAAACAACAACAACAAAAATTAGCCTGGTACAGCAGCTCATGCCTATAATCTTAGCTGCTCAGGAGGCAGAGATCTAGAGGATTGTGGTTCTCTTACAGTCAAAGCAAAATGTTTACAAAACCTCATCTCAACCAATGAAATGGTGGGCATTCAAGTATGCACTTGTCATCCCTAGCTATTCAGAAAGTGGTCATTGGAATGTCTTGGTCAAAGGTAGTCTGAAAATAAAGTGAGATCCTATTTGAAAAAATTCCTATTTGAGAAACTGGATGCCAGTGGCTCATGCCTGTAATCCTAGCTATTCAGGAGGCTGAGATCTAAGGATCTCAGTTTGAAGCCCGCTTGGGCAGAAAAGTTCACAAGACTCTTATCTCCAATTAACCAGCAAAAAGGTGGAAGTGGCCAGTTTCCAGTGGCTCACACCTATAATCCTAACTACTCAGGAGAATGAGATCTGAGGATAGTAGTTTACAGCCAGGCTGGGCAGAAAAGTCCCCTTGAGACTTTTATCTCCAATTAACCAGCAGAAAACTGGAATTGGTGCTGGAAGTGGAGCTATGGCTCAAGTGGTAGAGCACTAACTTTGAGCAGAAAAGCTCAGGGACAGAGCCCAGGCCGTGAGTTCAAGCCTCAAAACCGGCACAAGAGCCAGGCACCGGTGTCTCACGCCTGTAATCCTAGCTACTCAGGAGGCTGAGATCTGAGGATCATGGTTCAAAGCCAGCCCGAGCAGGAAAGTCCATGAAACTCTAATCTCCAAGAAAATTCTTATCCACAAGAAAACTGGAAGTAGCTCTGTGGCTCAAGTGGTAGAGCGCTAGCCTTGAGCTGAAGAGCTGAGGGACAGTGCCCAGGCCCAGAGTTCAGGCCTCACGACTGGACCAAAAAAAAAAAAGAAGGAGGAGGAGGATGATAGCGATGAGAAAAAGGGAAAGGAAGAGGGAGAAGCAGAAGGAGAAGGAGAAGAAGGAGGAGAAGCCACAAGAAGAACTGGTAGTACCTGAGTGTACTGTATCTCTCTGGACTATCTCAGATGGGTGTGCCCATCTGAGTCTTTGTCTACGAAATGAAAACAAATCCTCAGCCTTAATTAAGTACTGAGCTCTAAGTGACCTGTGGGGTGTGAGAGACAGAAGGGTCCAACAGGATGAAGAGAATAGACTTGCAACCAAGTCTCCAAGAAAAAAAAGACTTCTGCTTCATTTTCCCTGTGCCCATTCTTTGATATTCTGCTTTTCCAAACTTCCCTACTTGTCTACACTGATTTTTCTAAATATGGCTATGGCCTTTTGGTGTCTGTTGACACCATGACTTTAAGTTGAAATAAAGTAAAAGTAATTTCCAAGGATCGCTCCTTGGAAATTAAAACTTGAAAGAGAGAATACTTAAATCTACATGGACTCCTGCCTACTTCTAAAACCAATATCTTCATAAGACACTCGAGCTTCAAAACCGCTCCAACTCCCATAAACAGCTCTGTTTTAATCTGTTGCCTGCAACATACCAATGAGAAAAATCATGGTATCGTGTCCTAAACTGCTATGCAAATGATGCTATTTGTAAGTATTAACATAATTTAGTGCTTACAGTCATATTCTCATTTCTAATAATTCTCCTGGAATGGAGTCTTTTTCTGGACTCTTAGCCTGCAGGATAGTCTTTCATCAAGAAGCTGAAATTTTTAATAACCTGCCAGCATATGTTTTGTATGTGCCAGGCTAGGCTTGATGACACATCATCTTCATTATCAAAAGAAGCAGGTCTACAAACTGTAATGGGACATTAAAACATGTCTGTGCTCATAAAGTAATGCTTTGATGTCTAAATGTACACAAGTACAATGGTCTTATGGAACAAAGGAGAATTCTAATCCTAATTTCTCAATAGCTACACTCAATAGAGACTGTCATGCACCTCCACTCCAAATGCCATTTCACTTTGAAGGCAAAAAAGAATATCAAAGCTTCGCAGAACTGCTTTTCTTTTAATTTTAATTATTTTGGCTTCTCACCACATCATGGCAAAGCAGGCCTCAGACTGCAAAAAGATTTCTTGAGTAATTTTTGTACTTGTTAACAGTTTTTAAAAATGATTTAGATATGCTATCAATTATTCAAGAGTTTCACATTTAATAACATTAACAACAGTGCCAAATGAATTTAGTGACAATTTAAAATGGCATAGTTTGAAATAATTGAAATTAAATAATGTACAGTGTGGTTTCTAAATACAATTCAGTCATATGTTCAATGTTATTTTTGTTTTGTGCCAGTACTGGGGCTTGAACTCAGGGGCTGGGTGCTGTCTCTTGGTTTTTCACTCTACCACTTGAGCCACAGCTTCATTTCTGGGATTCTGGTGCTTAATTAGAGGTAAGAGTCTCTTGGACTTTCCTGCCCAGGCTGGCTTTGAACCACAATCATCAGATCTCAGCTTCCTGAGTAGCTAGAATTACAGATGTGAACCACCAGAGCCCCACTGTAAACATTTCACACATTTCAAATTTATTATAGCCTAGTTTCAGGAGAATGCTTTGAAACTTATCATTGGAATGACTGAGGCCAACACAAACCTTGCACGCTAATGTTTCAAGTTTTTAAAAGAAAAAAAATTCAGATATTTTCATGATTTAATCTCAACAGCTTGCTTCCAAAAGCAGCTCTATACAAATGAAATGAAATCCAGTTCAAAGAGAAAAAAGGGAAACCACTATGAACCTCAAAATTAAATACATTTTGTTTTACTTTCTTTTTCTTAAAGAGTAATTCACTTTGGTATACTTTAAATAATATGTAAAAAGCTGGCCATGACAGGTACTGTATTTAGTGTAGCCACTGTTGGAGAGCAAGAATAGGTCATGAGGGGAATGGTACCATTTTTCAAGGGAAACTCTCTCTCCTGACTGTTCTCCAGATCTAGCCATCATTTCGCATTCCCAAGAGCAATGAAGCTCCCTCTAGTTTGCCCCTCCCTCTCTAACACTTGTGCCTTGATTCATACACTTCTCTAGTGGGATGCTCAAAGCAGATGAAAATCACCTTGTACAACCCACTGCTAACCAGCTAAGATAACTTGCCTCTCAATTTTCCTTTAGCCAGTAGCTCAGCCTAAACATTGATAGGGGAAAAGAAAAGCCAAACATGACTAGGTCTCTTGGTCCCAAAATGGCCTAGTATTTTAGTGGTGGATATAATTTAAAATTAAAATTAATCATTAAGCAAATGCAGAACAGACTTAGTTACATTATTCATCTTACCAATGTGCATGGAAAATTTTATATATCTCTGTTCATATCCCAAGGCCTCATACCTGCCGCTCTGCTTTCGCTGGGATGTACTCCTATTTTTTTCTCTCTCAGCATCTCACAGGGACCAGCAGTTATATAAATTTCCTTGGACTGTCTTAAAAACATATGACTGCTGACAAAATGCTATCATATGTTAGCTTCCAAGTGACAGCCATTCACTAATAGAATTTCTGTCCCATAATAAAATACAGCTAGCTTAATAACAACATTTGATAGAAACACATTATCAAGACTTACTTTGGGCAAATGATGAAATTTGTAATGTTACTGAATATGAAAAGAACAATTTTATAATTATCATAATCAATTTGAAGGTATGAATGACAATTTTTGGGGAGGTCCAGTCGTGGGGCCTGAATTCTGGGCCTGGGCGCTGTCCCTCAACTCTTCAGCTCAAGGCTAACACTCTACCACTTGAGCCACAGTGCCACTTCTGGCTTTTTTCTTTATGTGGTGCTGAGGAATTGAACCCAGGGCTTCAGGCATGCAAGGCAAGCGCTCTACCACTGAGCCACCTTCCCAGCCCATGAATGACAATTTTTAGGGACCAAAGAAGATACATTTAAAATAACCCTATGACTCAGATGAGTGAGGTGTTTCAAGCCTGTAATCCTAACTACTTGGAAGGCAGAGATGGAGGGTAACGGTTTGAAGTTAAGGTGGGAAAAAAAATCACAAGACTCAACCAATGGCTAAGTGAAGTTGACATACACCTCTGTTTTCTCAGTTATATGGAGGACAAAAATAAGAGGATTGCAGTCCAAGCTAACTTGGGCATAATGCGTGATCCTATCGCAAAAGCACCAGCTCACCAGCACTGGCTAACTACTCAGAAGGCTGAGATCTGAGGATCATGATTTAAAGCTAGCCCTGGAAGAAAAGTCATGAGACTCTTACCTCCAATTAGCTAACAGAAAGTGGAAAGTAGAAGTGGGCTCAAGTGATAGAGAGCAAGCCTTAAACAAAAAATCCAGTCAAAGTGTGAGGATCTGAATTCAAGCCCCAGTACTAACACAAAGAAAAAGAATGCAAAAAAGAAGTTGGTGGCCCAGCGTCGGTGGCTCACACCTGTAATCCTAGCTACTCAGGAGGCTGAGATCTGAGGATTGCAGTTCAAAGACAGGTTGGACAGGAAAGTCTGTGAGACTCATCTTCAATTAAGCACCAGAAAACTGGAAGTGGCACTGTGGCTTGTCTTGAGCTGAAGAGCTTAGGGACAGTGCCCAGGCTCAGAGTTCAAGCCCCACAACCAAAAAAAAAGAGATTGGTGGAGTGGCTCAAGTGGTAAAGTGCCTACCAAGCAAGTATAAGATCTTGATTTCAAACCTCAGTATGTCAAAATAATATAACATTAACAACAACAACAATAACAACAACAACAATAGCCCAATGATTCAATTCATTTTCTGTACAGGGACTCAAGCCCAAGATAGGAACTATGGGTAAGTCACAGAGCTGAGTCTAAAAGAAAGAACTCTTATCTGGTAATGGAGCCTTGTAATTCGTAACCTATGGTTTAAATTGCCACTGAATACTTACGTGAGCCCACTTCTTACTCCAGCCTTCACACCCGTATCTGTTGCTCTCCTTTACTACCCACTTGTAGCATGATAGATGGGAAGCAATGTCACAAAAGGCTGTCCCATTCCCTCCAAATTCCAGGTCCATTTTAAAGAGCCAGCGTTGGATTTGCAGGTGATCAGTCACCAGCTGGGTCAACTGTTCTATCATCTGTGAGGCAAAGACAGCAACATTTCAGAGTTCTCATCCTTTCTATCTCATTGACTTGGTTGTGAAATTTTGCATGTGTTCTCATTTGGTTCGCCTCTCCTTAAGATGGGCTAAAGAAGAGTATTGTATTTATGTTGTAAAAAATAACCATTAAGCAATGAGATCAAAGACATGCTTAAAAGTATAATCTTGCTGGGTTCTGGTGACTCATGCCTATAATCCTAGCTACTGAGGAGGTTCAGATCTGAGAATTCCCTTTGGAAGCCAGCCGAGGCGGAAAATTCCATGAGAGTCTTATCTCCAATTACCACCAAAAAGCCAGAAGTGGAGGTGTGGCTCAAGTGGTAGAGTGCCAGCCTTGAACAAAAAAGCCAAGTGAGAACATGAGGCAGAGTTCAAGCTCCAGTATACTGTCTCTCTGTCTCTGTGTCTCTGTCTCTCTGTCTCTCTCTCTCATACATCTTCCCCCCAGAATCCAATAGCAAAACAATTTCACACATACACAAAAAAACCCATGAGAGATAAAGGAAAGAAAATACTCATAGAACCCATCTTTCCGGAATGAATACCTAACCTACCTTTGATCAGAAACATACTCCCTCGAGAACTGGTTTCAAACACAGATATTTAAGGAATAGAATTGATTTCCAATGAACCAATGGAGAAAAAGTCAATAAAAAATAAAACCCGGGGCTGGGAAGGTGGCTCAGTGGTAAAGTGTTGACTCGCATGCATGAGGCCCTGGGTTCGATTCCTCAGCACCACATAAGCAGAAAAAGCTGAAAGTGGTGCTGTGGTTCAAGTGGTAGAGGGCTAGCCTTGAGCTGAAAAGCCGAGGGACAGCACCCAGGCCCAGAGTTCAAGCTCCACAACTGATGACAAAATAAACACAAAAAAACCTAGTTTGATACTATTTTTGGAACAACATCTTTGCCATTATTGAATTGATACTTAGAAAGTATGTTTTCATTACTGAGCTGAAACCCTCTATAATAACGCTGACATCACTGACCTTTATAGGAGTCCTACCTTTGACTTATAAATTCTCCACATGGACTTTCCCATTTAGTACTCACACTTATCCATGAGGTAGGGACTATTCATGGTTCTATTTTATATATAAACAGATGCTGGCTAACTTAAACCACTTGCACAAGATCACATAGCATGTGGGGCAGAGCAAGGCACCTCCCAGCTTGCTTTGATTCCAACCTTACACTTCTTACCCGGTCCAAGGGGCTCCAGGGAGCAAGAGAGATGAATGAACTGGAGACAAAAGTTAGAGGAACAAGAAAAGCAACTTGCCTCACAGTCAACGTGCCATTGAGAGTGTGTATGAATCACACGAATTTCTATAGCAAGTCTACTTAAATTATATTACAGACTTGGAAAAAACTGTACACACACACACACACATATATACAGTGCTACACTGGAGGTTGAACACAGGACCTGTACACTGTCTTGAGCTGTGTCACTTAAGGATGCCACTCTCCCACTTGAGCCACACTTCTACTTCCAGCATTTTTGGTGGTTAATTGGAGTCTCATGGATTTTTCTGCCTGGGCTGGCTTTGAACTATGATTCTCAGATCTTAGCTTACTGAGTAAGTAGGACAGGCATTCAGTCTGTACTTCTTTGAAGCCAACAAACTGACATTAAGCATCATGAATCTACCCATGCTGCTCTTGGCTATGGCCTCTTGTATGTATATTTCTTGTGACACTCTTATTTTCTTCTCTTTTGATGACTTCTTTTGCCTACCAATAGGTTCCTATTTTTTTCCTCATTAAAAAGCGTGAAAGAATTTAATATTTATAGTTTGAATCTGAAACTGTAAAGGTAAATTTATTTTGTTTAAAGGCATGATGTGTTCTTTTGAGTTATGGCTATCCATCAAATGTTCTTGGAGATGCTACATGGAATTTGTAGGGAAAAAAATAACAAATACTCACACTTGAGGTCCCCACTTTGACTCCCTAATTATCAAATAATGTCTATGGATAACTTGGATTTTTTTTTTGTCCATCATGGGGCTTGAACTCTGGGCCTGAGCACTGTCTCTCAGCTCTTCAGCTCAAAGCTAGCATTCTACCATTTGAGCTATAGCACCACTTCCAGTTTTCTGGTGGTTTATTGGAGATAAGAGTTTCATGGACTTTCCTGTCCTGGCTATCTTTGAACCGCAATCCTCAAATCTCAGCCTCCTGAGTAGCTAGGATTACAGGCATGAGCCACCAGCACTCGGCTAATTTGGATGTTTAATCAAGGTATCCTGATTTATATATCTTGTGGCAATGAACATAGCTTAGGAAGACTTTAAATATGTCTTCTAAAGTTGCATTCCTTCTTTCTTTAATAGATAGGGAAGACAGATTCTATATTTAATCATATTTTTAGGGCATTGTGGTCACTCTTTGCTGTAGAAATGGTCTTCACCCTGTTAATGTTAGATTAAAAAATTCTGCTGTTGTAAGGAAAGGTGTTCTGGCAGTCTATTAAATCATACATTTGAGTGTATTGTATATTTGGAGATTTCAAATACTAATAGAATTATCTGTTTCTTCCAAATCCTATTATTTGTTGTTTCTGAGAAGCATATAAATAGGTGTCTTTGATAGGTCCCCTACAGTAATGAAAACGATCAATAGGATTGTAAAGACTATGCCACTGGAAAGAATTATGTGCTATCTTTAAGTGAAAATTGAACAGTACTTTAAAATAGCACTGCCATTTTTGATTATTTAACTAAAGCTGTCAATATTTCATGCGAAGCAGAGGCCAGAAAGAAAACTTGCATGGTTACTTTATGAACCAAATCAGAAAATGCTCACTGTGCTCATGCTGGTTGTTTTTTTTTTTTTTAATAATCATCAACCAAGTGATTTTAGGCTATTTCTAAACATTTGTTTTTGTCTGTTTGAGTCTATCTGTTCAAAAGGTCTTTTTTTGTTGTTGTTGTGATTCTTTTATGCTGGCAAAGAGTAAAAGTAGGAAAAAATGACTACTGTGAAAATCCAACTAATACTCAGGAATATTTCCTAAATATTACTTGTTAAAAAAAAGAGTTTTACCAGGTTTGTTTTTATGTTGCACATCAGTGAAAAAAATCATTGTTATTGATTCATTACCATCTGCAGATTCAAAATACTGATACACTGAGATTGATTAGGTAGGATAATAACTATGTACAAAATCTCTGTGAAGTACTTTGGCTCTTGATGGCCACAGATACATGTTTTTCAGAAAAGCAGACTCAGTTATAACTCAGTTTACTATTATGGTATTTATATATACCATAGATCAACTAGTATCCTTAAAATCTGATGTGTCTATGAGTCGTTGTTTTTTTTTCCTAGTCCTGGGGCTTGAAATCAGGGCCTAGGCATTGTCACTAAACTCTATCACTCAAGGCCAGCACTATGGCACTCTACTTCCAGTGTTTTGATGGTTAATTGGAGTTAAGAATATCATGGACATTCCTGCCTTGGCTGGCTTTGAACCAGGATGCTCAGATCTCAGCCTCCTGAAGAACTAAGATTATAGGCCACCAGTACCCAGCAATGAGGAAATTTTTAATCCGCCTTCTAAATACAATCACTAGACAGAGGCTGTACTACAATTCGGAGATTAACCACAATTAACGTATAAAGTGCTAAATACTTCAGAGCAGAATAATGCCTCAATTCTCATCAGTGAAGATGAAATCAAGGATCAATTTAAATACTGCACGTACATTTTAAAGTCTTGAAGATTGCTTAATAATAATAATAATAATAAAACTGTACCATTTTAATGGGTATTTCACTTTTTATTAAGCTTAGTGGCCCAAAAATTTTACTGGGAAGCAGAGTTGAGCAATCTTCCTTGTTATTTTTGAAGCCCAGTGTAGGTTAATGATCATGGAAAGTGATCCAGCAGCTCAGAGGGAGCCTCGCTAATCCACAAAAGCTCCCTGCGCCTTTTCACAGATCATGCTATTTCTATGAGCCTAGGTATCAACAAAAACACTCTAGTAAGACTTTAGGGAAATTCAGTAAGCTTGTATCTTCTTCCATCATGTCTCTGCAGAGTATCAGTTATTGAAAGACTTGATTTGGGGGGAAAGGGGGTCTCATGACTTGTGTGGTATATAACATAATGAACAAGCAACTGAGATTCTTAGAAGGGCTTCGCTAAATTCAGTCCCTGGCAAACTATCCCATTGTATATGGTTCTTCAGTTTCCCTAGAAGTGGAGAGTGGAGATAATTGGTGATTGGCTCAGAGTAACGGTCAAGAGATGTACTAAAACAGAGGTTAGGAAATGTTAACAGCCATTTGTCTTTTAATTTTCTTTATTATGAAAACAGATGGCAGATAAATGAGAGAACACCTGCCAGAGTTCACTCAAAGAGAAAACATTTCTAGCAGCTAATGAATCTCTCCAAATATTTGGGGCCTGTAACTACCTGCTGGAATTACAGAGCCACGGCCCTGGTTCAAGGCAAAACCAGCAGTAGTTTCATTCACAGCTCCACTTTTGGCTTTTTTGGTGGTTAATTGGAGACAAGGGTCAGACTTTCCTGCCCAGGCTGGCTTTGAACCACAATCCTCAGATCCTCAGATCTCAGTGTCCTGAGCAGCTAGCAACACAGGCATGAGCCATGGGCGCCTGGCCCAAATAATAATTTTTAACAATCTAAAATGCCTTAAGGGTAAATATTTTGGAAATTCCAGCAATTTCTGTAAGACAATTAGAAAGAAACATGAAAACCTACAGGCTTCATGGAGACCCCTTAAATCAACTCAAGAATACAACTTTCACTGTGAAATTTGTGAGCAGCATCTTGTCACCATACGTACCTGATCATTTGAATAAATGTCATATGCTCCAGGAGGGATTGGTACATTGATCTTGTCAAAGATCCGTTTACTGCCAGACTTGGAACTATAAAGTTGCACCAGCTCAGGCTCTGAGCCCAGGATGGGTACATTTAACATATCAGCCACAGCTAAATCATCTCTGTGGAGAAAACCACCCACAATGTAGGCCTCTTTTCCTTGGATGAGATTTTTTATTCTTTTGATTGCCTTGGGACTGTACTTCAGGTGAGTGGCCAGGCACATGTGATGATTCTGTGTGAAGATCATATAATGCCTGTTAAGAGAGGTGCCCTTTTCTTTTTCTAATCCATACACTTAATTTATAATGTTGCACACAATAAATACATTATTAATAGCAGGCTGGGTTATGACCTATCCTGTTGTTTAGCAGTTTAAATTGATAAAAGCTGTTGGGGTGAGGTTCCATAATCGCTCACATCTTTAGTGTGTTGGAAATAGGCTCGCTGGGAATAGAACTAATTACTACACATCTGTATTTATTTGATCCACGTGGAATTATCCTTCTGTCAGAAGGAAAAGAGGCTGGCGGCCTTTGGATAATAGTGATTCATCTCAGCAACACTTCTGGCATGGTTTAACACTAAAGCATCTGGAAAATCAATACTAAAAAAATGAAGAAAACAAAAAACCCCCAGAATTCTTCACTGTTTTACTCCTAATCTGGCAACTCTTCAAATGCTTTAGTAAGAAAAAGGTACTTGACTTGGGTACCCTCTTGCGGAAATTCCATTGCAAAATCTATTTCAGATAACATACCATTTAATTGTGGTTCTCAGTGGTTCTAGCCAATAATTCTGGAGAGACCTCATGAATAGAAGGTATTTGAAATTTTGTGCATGACTCAGATTCATTTTCCAATTCAAATTCTTTTTAATTTTGAGTAGTTAGACCTAGTTCAGCAATGACTGTGACTTTCTCTATTAAATAAGTAATTCTATTCATGACTAAATAGCAGAGGACAGAGCCAGGTGGTCATCACACAGCAAAACTAATATGGCTGTGTTTCTGCTTTCAAGAAATGGGGACATAAATAAGGATAGGCAATACATAACTAATATAAGGTAGGTAAGAGCCATAGGTAGCTACATAGTGCTTTGGAGGCATAAAATAGAAAGGCGTAGGCCATATGCTGGTAGAGAGAACTGAAAAACTAAGATATTGGTGGGGGTGTGTGGGGAGAATTGGGTGGGGGAGCGGGTGGGGGAATGGGAAGGGATGGGAGGGGAAACAAAGGAGGAGGCTACAATGCTTGATAAGAAATGTACTCATTATCTTGCCCATGTAATTGTAACCCCTCTGTACAGTATTTTCACAATAAAAAATAAAAATTAAAAGAAAAGAAAAGAAAAACTAAGGTATTTGTTTTCCTTATGCCTTAGTTTCTTTATCTTTAAAATGAGTATAATAGGACCTTTCATATAGGGAAGTTGTGAGGATTAAATGAAATAATGCATATAAATCATTTATAATAATACATAGGACACAACAGAAATGAATGTTAGGTAGTATTAGTATCATGAAAGAAGCTGGGGTGAAAATGGGGGTGGGAAGGGCATTCTCCCAGGATAGAGCATTAGAACCAGTACTGTTTACTTCCTTAACTAAAGAGGGTAGCATGGGGATTTGAAGTCAGACAGTTCTGGCTTTGAATCCAGCTCGATTACTTCTAAACTAACTGCATGAACTTGGACAAGTGACTTAGTCTCTGTGAGTCCATTTATTTGTTAAATGGGAGAAAACCCCACCCATATTTTGCTCCAAGGCTAAAATAAGATCATGAATATAAAACAACTAATATGATATATGGTTTGGGGCCAATAGTTAATAAATAGTAATTATTATTTTTACAGAGCAAACCTTATTTTAAAAATAAAGTCAAGCCAGGCACTGGTAGCTTATACCTAGAATCTTCGCTACTCAGGAGGTATCCTGTTGGAAGCAAGCCCTAGCAAATGAATCACAGGGACTCTTATCTCCACTTAACTAGCAAAAATTTAGAATTGGGGTGTGGCTCTTGTGGTTGGTAGAGTGCCAGCCTTGAGTGAAAAAGCTAAGCAAGTGTGAGGCCCTGAGTTCCAGCCCCAGTTCTCTCTCTCTCACACACACACACATACACATTAAAAAGTCATACAATAATGTAAAGCAAAGGTACCAGAACTTTAAGGGAATCCAAGGGTTTTATAAGCCAGTAGCTACTTCAATGTTCATGCAAAGTTTCTAATATGTTAGTATAAAAATGTGGAGTGACTAGTTTGGAGGAAGATCTAGTGTACCAGTTTGCAGACTGTTGAAGAGTATAAAAACAGTCTGTATGGAGAGAAGAGAGTTAGACTGGGAAGATCCACTGGATGTCAAGGTTTGCCTGAATTTGTAACTTGCTAGAAGAATGAGCATACTGGACTTTTGTGAGCCTCAGTTCCCTATCTTCAAATAAGGGGCTAAAGGCCTCAGGATGCTTCCAGCTCTTGAAACAACACTCTCTAAACAAGAGCTCTTCTGTACTTAGTGGTTAACATGTATAGAGTTTCTCCTGAGGATAATGGTAAGTCCTGGAAACAGATAGTCATGATGCTTGCATAACAAGATCAGTGTATAACAAGTGTAGTGTACACTTAAAAAGGGTTAAGATAGTAAATTGTATGTTATGTATCTTTTTACCCAATTATAAAAGTAAAAAAGACTCCCAGCATTCCAAGACCTTACCTGAAAAATAACTAAGGTAAAAAACAGCTGGGAGCTATACATAGTTCACATGTTAGACTTCCTGTCTATTTTTTTAATTGTGAAAATACCATACAGAGGGGTTACAGTTACATGGGCAAGGTAATGAGTACATTTCTTATCAAGCATTGTTGCCTCCTCCTTTGTTTCCCCTTCCCATCCATTCCCATCTCCCACCCCTCCCCACCCCCGCACACTGCCAAAGTTGTAAAGTTTGTTTTTCGACATAACGACTTGTACATCTCATTGTTGCAATGGGTCCACCTGTATCTCTACTTAAATGAATTTTGCCCTTCCCCTCCACAAATTATACCAACATCAAATACAGTGAGAGCAGGGGTTATACCGTGGGGGAGGGACACTTCCTGCCTATTATAATATGAGACCCTAAATTCAAACTCCATTACTGCCTTCCTCTCTGGCAACTGTATTTCTGAGCTCCATGTTGTGTTTACACCAGCGTATCTAACACTTAAGAGGCTGAGGCAGGAGGATCACTAGTTTGAGGCTAGCCTGGGCTACACAGTCACATTCTGTCTTAAAAAATAAACAAATAAAACACAGAGGGGGGAAAAAGGTATTCTGAGAGTGAAATCAATGTCTCATCCAGAGAGGGAGAAGCTGTGGCCTATGGGCCCTGTCACATAAGGCCCCCCAATCCATGACAGGACAGGCACATATGCTCCTTGTGGGCTTCCCTCAGCTACCTTCCTGGATTGATGTCTTGTTTGGCCCTTAAATGGTGTTGTAGATGTCTAAATGACCATTGGCAGCAGTAAGGATCCTCACCTCTGCTAGATTATGGCCAGTGGTAGCATCTGGTGGGATTTGTTTCCCATCCGGTTTGTCATTGCCTTTCCCCTACCCTTACTTATTTCACTACCTTCCCTTTCCCCTAATTATACCAGTGATAATTAGTCACCCAGGTGAACTTAAGTTACAATGTCCAAGGTATTCTAAGGTACCATCTTCTTATAATCTGGCAAAGTCAAAGCCTTGGCCATGCAGTCCCTCATTTGGTCCACACCACTCCCTTTCCCCATCTTCTGGTGTGAGCAGAGAAGGTTGGATGGGTTTATGGGCTACAAAGAGGGATAGCAGATGCAACAATAGGAACTATAGAGTTCTGAGTGTATTTCAAGCTAGGACAGATTCCTGTCTTCTCTAGGTTTGCTTATTTCTATTGGCAAGTATTCTCTTCAACTCCACATTACAATGTCCTGTGGGCATGCTTTCATGTTCAGGCAGGATGATACCATGGTATTGTAGCTGATATATGTTTAATAAAGATGCAAATGTGAGTGAATGGTAGCTGAGGACACATTACTGACCGCAGATCTTATGTGATCCTTTAGAGAAAAATCACTTCTAGGTACTGGAGGTCACAGATGACAAAAATCTAAAATGTTCCCGATTCCCTTGTGGTACGGTCACATTTAATTGATCACCATTGATTTATTTTCTTGATCTGAGACAAAAGGGAGTTATTTAGAATGTCTTAAAAAAAAAACTTCAAGTGCCCTAAAATAGACATGATCACTTTTTTTTGTTGTTGTTGGTTGCGGGGCTTGAACTCTGGGCTTGGGCCCTAGCCCTGAGCTCTTCAGCTCAAAACGAGAGCTCTACCGCTTGAGCCACCTCACCACTTCTGGTTTTCTGGTGGTTAATTGGAGATAAGAGTCTCACGGACTTTTCTGCCTGGGCTGGCTTTGAACCGTGATCCTCAGATCTCAGCCTCCTCAGTAGCTAGGATTACAGGCATGAGCCACCGGTGCCCAGCTGATATGAACACTTTTATAGAAGCGCATTTACCCTTACAAATCCAAGCATTGAATAGTACGTTGAGAGATATACAAAAAGATTTTGGCACATTTCAAAAAACATCTCTTCAAAGTCATCCATTTGAATGAAAATCAGCACTGATACAATCTCTCAAACTCATTAAAAAGAAATTAAGGAACAGCTAGACATGAGCAGAAACTGATTTGAAAGTGAGAGTTTAATTTTTGTATTTTAAAATGTTGATTGCCTATGAGTGATTAATTACTCAACTAATTTAAATTTAAGCTTTGAGAAGAAATATTAAGTACTGACTACCTTGTCTACTTGCTCCTGCTCAGCAATAGACCTACACTCTGAGTGTAACTCTACATTTGGGAGTGCCAACTGCAAGAGTAATTTTCCCAGATAATAGGAACATACAGTTGGAGAGCACTTTGGAATTATCTAATTTATCACCTCATGTTATAGATGAAGAAGAGAAGGACCAGAGAGTAAAGGTGCTTGGTCATCCAAAAACAAAGCAGTACTGGTGGTATTCTAGGGTAGACAGACTAGGGCTTTGGACAAGAAAGTGAACTAGGTTTTCCTAGCCACAAAATGAAAGCGATCATTTCTGTTTTATTGAATTATTCTGAGATCGAATGAGAACATGTATGTAATAAAACACTGGGTTAAAAAAATCACGGCTCTCTTAATGTGATGTCAGGAAATTGAACCCTTAGATATGTATCTTAATGTTTTTTTCTTTCATGCATGTGTTTCTAATGCACTTATAAGATTATCTCTTTGTTGCTTTGTATGTCCCTCCCCCACAGTATAACCCCTGCTTTCACTATATTTGATGTCAGTATAACTTGAGGAGGAGATGGGGAAAAACCAGTAGTTTAAAGATACAGGTGGACCTGTTGCAACAATGAGAAGTACAAGTTGTCATGTCCAAAACGAGCTTTACAACGTTGGTGCGGGGGGGGGGGCGGGGAAGGGGGGGAAGGAGAAAGATTGGGATTGGGGGGGGGGGGGGAGGCTGGGAAGGGATGTGAAGGGTAAACAAAAGGAGGAGGCTGCAATGCTTGGTAAGAAATGTACGCATTATTCTGCCCATGTAATTGTAACCCCTCTGTACAGTATGTTCACAAATAAAATAAAAAAATTATTTTTAAAAGGTAAAAAAAATCACGGCTCTCTGCTCTTTTCTAGCTCTCTCTACTCTTTTCTAGCTCTTTCCTCTCTTTTCTAGCTCTCTTCTCTTTCTCAGCTCTCTCTTTCTCAGCTCTCTCTTTCCCAGCTCTCTCTCTTTCCCAGGCCTTTCCCAGCCGCGTGGAGGGCCAACCTGGCCTTGTCCCAGCAGGTCTACTGAATAAACCTACCCCTTACCTGAAAAAAAAAATCACAGTAATCAGGTCCCACACTCTTGCTTAGTTTTTTCTGCTCAAGGCTGGGCTTTACCACTTGAGTCACAACTCTACTTCTGGTTTGTTGTTGTTGTTGTTTTCTGGTTAATAAGTCTCTCAGATTTGTCTGTCCTGGCTGATCTTGAAATCCTCAAAACTCAGCCATTGGTGCCTGGCTTTATATGTTAAGAATTTTTTAAAGTCTACCTTACTCAATTTCCTCCTTATAAATCCCTTTCACTGCTCTCTGCCTTTTCAACATCTGTGAACATTTCAGATGTACAGAAACTTCTTTTTGGCAGCTAACAGGCATGAACTTCTTTCTGACAAATGTAACTAAACACTAATGATCATTCTTTTCCTTGATTCCTAGTGTCCACAGTAACTCTGCCATCAGGGCTGGGCAATAAGTAGTGATCACCAAAGTGATCCTTGTGTTGATGAAGTACAGGGAAGGTTCCCAAGAACACAAGTAAGTGGCTATGAGCTGTCCCCTTGTCCTCTCTCTTCCTCCCCCTTCTTCTGCCCTTGCCTTCCTTTCCCACTACCAAACGTACCAATGAAGCCAGGTGCTGGTGGCTCACACCTGTAATCCTAGCTATTCAGGAGGCTGAGATCTGAGAATCAAAATTTGAAGCCAGGCTGGGCAGAAAAGTCTGCAAGACTCTTATCTCAAATAAGCTATTCAGAAAAGGCTGGAAGTGGCACTGTGGCTCAAGTGGTAGAGCGCTATCCTTGAGCACAAAGAGGTTCAGGGACAGCTCCCAGACCCTGAACAAGCCCTAGGACTGGCAAAAACAACAACAACAAGAAAAAAACCAAAGGTACCAATGAAACAGTTGTGTAGAGGGCTTTGGAGAAAATACTGAGTTGTCGATTTATGTGCTCTTCATCTTGATAGTAAACAATATATCTGGGTGACAAATGGCTGAGCACACCAACAAACAGAAATACCTTTTTTGTTGTTGTTGTTGGCCTGGGTCTTAAACTTGGAGTCTGGGTGCTATTCCTGAGATTTTTTTTTGCTCAAGACTAGCCCTCTTCCATTTTGAGTCACAGTGCTACTTCTCGTTTTCTGGAGGTTAACTGGAGATAAGAGTCTCATGGGCTTTCCTGCTTGGGCTGGTTTTGAACTACGAGTCTCAAACCTCAGCCTCCTGAATGGCTAGGATTGCAGGTGTGAACCACCAGTGCTTGGCTAGAAATGCCTTTTTCTAGGACCCCTAACCTCATGGTCCCATAAATTTCCCAAAGGCTCTTGTTCAGTAATAGGTTTCTACTCAGGATGCATCCATTCATTAAAAATCAGTACATTAAAAAATCTGGCTGGGTATCAGTGGGTCACACCTGTAATCTTAGCTACTTAGGAGGCTGAGATCTGAAGATCATGGTTCAAAGCCAGCCTGGACAGAAAAGTCCATGAGACTTTTATCTCCAATTAACCAGCAGAAAAACAAGAAGCTCAAGAAGCAGAGAATCTGCCTTGAGTAGAAGAAGCTAAGCAGGAGTGCAAGGCCTTGAGTTCAACCTCCAGTACTGTCACAGAAAGGAGAGAAAGAGGAAGCTAGAAGGAAAGAAGGAAAATGGAAGGAAGGAAGGAAAGAATGAAAAAGAAGGAAGGAAAGAAGGAACGGAAAAGAAGATGAGAAGAAAAGAAAAACAAAAAAGAATAAGAGAATATCTAAACCTTGTTTATTAGGGCCCATGTGGCAAGGTAGGGGCTGTAATCAGAAAAATCTGTGTGGAAGTCAGAGACCAGAGATTCTGTCCCTGAGTAGCTTTGTGACTGCAAAGCAACCCATGTCTTTTTCTGCCCTGGTGGCCTCCACACAAAATTAAGATAAAAGGGTGATAGATGTTATAAATTCACCTACTTGATAGTATCACTCAATAACTGAAATTGGGCTTCAGTCACAGAAACTGGACAGAAGTAGCTCAACTAAGTCTGAAAGTTAAACCTTGGATATTTATCTCCTTATAGTTCAACTGGTAGTCTAATCAGTAAGGCTGTTAAACTTGCAATAATATTTCACTGATGTGTAGCCGAGCGTTACAAGTTATAAAATTTCCAATTTAATTTTACTGCATCCCCGAAGCTGTAGTAATTAGAAGACAAACTCACTGTGAAGAAGTCTACAGCTTCGGGGGTGATAATTTTCAGCCTGTTCTTCAGGTCACTTCTGTCATTCACATTCCCCGATTTGACAGCTGCATGTAGACTCAGGATTTTTTGGTAATATAGCCTTAACTCATCATTCATATGGTGGGAGGAGATGTAGATGACATTCACATTGATATCTAAAAAAATCAACAGGCACAATGTTAATTACTGACAGAAAGGTAAATCACCCTGTGAACTCTGGCATCTAATTGATGTCATCCGGTTCAAAATAAAAAGCATATCCAGCCGGGTATTGGTGGCTCACATCTGTAATCCTAACTATTCAGAAGGCTGAGATCTGAGGATGGTAATTCACACCAGCCTGGGCTGTAAAGTCCATGAGACTCTTATCTCCAATAAACCACCAGAAAACTGGGAATGGGCCAGGTGCCAGTGGCTCACATCTGTAATCCTAACTACTCAGGAGGCTGAGATCTGAGGATCATGGTTTAAAGCCAGCCCGGGGAAGGAAAGTCTGTGAGATTCTTATTTCCAATAAACCACTAGGAAGCTGGAAGTCCCACAATGACAAAGAAATAAAAACAGAAAACTGAAAATGGCGCTGTGGCTCAAGTGGTAGAGTCCTAGCCTTGAGCTGAAGAGCTGACAAACAATACCCAGGCCCAGAGTTCAAGCCTCACAACCGATCCCCCATCCAAAAAATAAATAAAAAGGCATATCCAAAATGCCATACTGAAGTTCATTTAGATAGGTTTTTCAAGCAAGCTATTCAGCTTATTATTTATTCAATCCATTCGTTCATTTTATTCATCTATTTTTATTTTCATTTATTTATTTTTATACAGTGCCAATATTGGAGCTTGAACTCAGGGCCTCGGGCTCTCACTTCGCTTTTTCTCCTTAAGGCTGTTGTTCCACCACTTGAACCATAGCTCCATTTCTGGCTTTTTGGTGGCTAATTGGAGATAAGAGTCTCAAAAACTTTCCTCCCTGGACTGGCTTTGAACCTTGAGCCTTCGATTTCAGTTTCCTGAGTAGCTATAATTGTAAGCGATGGTGCTTGGCTAAAGAACTTATTTCCACTTATATCAATATAAGTGGATATAAGTATATCAATAATGGGGCTTAAACTCAGACCTTGAGGCTCTTGCTTACCTTTTTGTTCAAGACTGTGGCTTTTTTTTTACACATTAACATTTCTCTAAGAAAAGACATCACAAAGTATACGCAGTCATGCCTTAAGAAGGCAAATAAGGGCTGGGAAGATGGCTCAGTGGTAGAGCGCTGGCTTTGCATGCCTGAGGCCCTGGGTTCGATTCCTCAGCACCCCATAAGCAAAAAGAAAAAAGCCAGAAGTGGCGCTGTGGCTCAAGTGGTAGAGCGCTAGCCTTGAGCTGAAGAGGTGAGGGACAGCGCCCAGGCCCAGAGTACAGGTCCCACGACCAGACCCCAGAGGAGAGAGGAATGGTACACAAATGCTGTCATAATATGTAATGTAAATATGTGAAAAGGAAAGTAAGAAATCTGATGAGATGGGGAGAGGTCGGAGAAAAGGGGACAGAATGATGGAAGGGATGATTGATCGAGATGCCATCTACATATAAATGGACATGTTTAAATCTGAACTGCGCTTACAAATATTTGAAGAAAACAATAATAATACTGATGATGACGAAGGAGGTCTGAGCTTCCAAATAACACACCGAGATTTAACCACAACTACCATTAATATCAGTGGGAACAGCAACAAAAACCGCTTTATAGATTCAGGGGCAGAAGAAAAGAAATTCCTTGAGAAGAAATCTTTGATAAGAAACTAGATCGCTAATTACATTTTTTCTTGCCAATTTCTGGAAAATGATATATATTACTGTGATATACAGTATTAGTGTGGTTTCACTATGAAGATATAAATACTATTAATTGACAAATCATTATGGAAAGGAGCTATAAGAAGGTGAAAGTTGCTTTGATTGCTGGCCAATAGTCAAAATTACTCTTTAGCTTGACTATCTAGGAATTGAAGAGATTAGCTATTAGAGTTTGTACCCAAAGACCTGGTTTCATAGCCAGCAGCAAGTGACAAATTTTATCAGTAGAATTGTGTTGTCTTTATTTTCCCCTGAATAACCAGAAAAAGCAACACTTTTTTACTAGCAATTAACGAAATTGAAATGATAGTTATTTATTCTTCTACAGAATTGCTACTGGTTCTTTTCTAAGTTTCTTGACATTTTTATTTCAGAAGCAAGCACTTCTATATACAAGCAAATTTCTTCTATCTACTACTTGCTGAGGTTTAAAATCAGGGCTTCACTCTTGCTAGGTAGGTGCACTGTAGGGAGCCAGGGTTCCAGTCCTTTCTGTTCTTGTTATTTTTGAGATAGGGTCTCCCATTTTTGCCTAGGCCAGTGTGAACAGCAGTCCTCCTATTTACACTTCCCAATGTAATTATAATTACAGGTGCATGCCATCACAACCAAATGTTTTTGTTAAGATAGGGTCTTACAAACTTCCCTCTACCCCCCCCCACCTTCAACCTCCACCACAGGCTGTCCTGCAGTCTTTATCTGCCTGATAACCACCTCCCATCAACATCTGGCCCAATCTACTTCTTTTTAAAATCTTTATACCTTTTAAAGTTACATTGCTATATCATAAAGACAATATACCAAGAAAAGGCATAATCTCTCAGAAATGTTGGTTAGCAAAATTTTTCTTAGCAGATGGTACAGACTGAATTACTGGATTATTTAAAATATAGGCCTAAAACTTCCAGGTCTTTCCAGAAAGGAGAATCTTGTAAAAAGTATAAATGTATATATACATATATGTATATATATATATGTATATACATATAGGTATATATGTATGCATGTATATGTATATATATTCTTTGGTGGTGATTTTTCTTTTTTCTTTCTTTTTTTCTTTCTTCTTTTTTTTTTTTTCAGTCGTGGGGCCTAAACTCTGGGCCTGGGCACTGTCCCTCAGCTCTTCAGCTCAAGGCTAGCACTCTATCACTTGAGCCACAGAGCCATTGTCAGCTTTTTCTGCTTATGTGGTGCTGAGGAATCGAACCCAGTGCCTCATGCATGCAAGGTAAGCACTTTACCATTGAGTCACCTTCCCAGCCTGATTTTTCAGATAGATAGATAGATTTTAAAAGCTAAAGAAAAAATTCAATTTACCTGGGTACCCGTGGCTCATGCATATAATCCTAGCTACTCAGGAGACTGAGATTTGAGAATCGAAGTTCAAAGCCAGCCCAGGCAGGAAAGTCTATGACACTCTTACCTTCCATTAATCAGCAAAAAGCCAGAAGTGGAGCTGTGGCTCAAGTAGTAGACTGATAGCCTTGAACCCCAAAGCTCAGGCCAGTGCACAGGCCCTCAGTTCAAGCCCCAGTACCAGTACAAACAAACAAACAAAAATCAAATAAATTAAAGCAAAGTCTGCCCTCTGCTGCCCTTCAGTGGTCTCCATCCAGTCAGCTTTTAGTTAAAATAGCTCAGTACTAACAAATCAATCTCAAGTCATTAATTGTTTTTTTTGCAATCCTGAAAAACAATATCAGTGCCTAGATAACAGATTAAAGCAATTATACTATTATTATTTTAGGACACTGTAAATTTCTAGTTCTGATGTATTTTTGTTACCAAATGGCATTTATAAAATAATAATGATGCTGAAATATATATGAATCATGTAAAGTATGTCATCCCAGGGAGCCAGCAAAGTTGGCCATTGATAATTTAAAATTCTTTCTTGTTTTGCTTAAATAAAGGCCAAAAAATTATATTTTAACAAAACAAGTAAATTCTTATTTGATAACTAATAAAAAATTATTTTTTACATGTCCTCATCTTTTCACTAGTTGTTCATAAACTGATTATTAAAACCTTTGCAAATCTGTATTTTTTAGGCCTAATTTGAATTCTGACCTTGACATTTTCCTAGACCCAGATCTGACTGTGAACAGACCCAACTAGTTTCAGAACTTGACTTTTCTTAAGATCGATCTACCCATCCAAGTCTGCATTTTTAAGACTTTCCTCCACTGAGGACTTTGTTCTCTAATGACTAGTTGTTCTGTATTTATTGAAATGCTTCTTTAAAAAAAATCTGTCTTAATTTCTTATTCTTACAATAAAAATGAAATGCTTCATTTCTGACATCATCTACTCGTGCCCAGATAACCTAATAGACAATATTGAAACAGATATAAAATTGTGATCTCATTCATTGCAAGACTTCAGTAAATCAAGATTTCTTTCTGTAGGAAAGAAATTGCTATCCCCAACTATAGCAAACAGCATTTAGAAAAATGCCCAAGTCAAGTCATCAATTAAGGCCAGTGTTTATTCTTTTTTTTTTTTGTCAGTTGTGGGGCTTGAACTCTGGGCCTGGGTGCTGTCCCTCAGCTCTTCAGCTCAAGGAGAGCGCTCTACCACTTGAGCCACAGCGCCACTTCCGGTTTTCTAGAGGTTTAATGGAGATAAAGAGTCTCACATACTTTGCTGCCCAAGCTGGCTTTGAACCGCGATCCTAAGATCTCAGCCTCCTAAGTAGCTAGGATTACAGATGTGAGTCACTGGCACCCGGCTTCATGTTATTTTTAACAAGTTATTTTGGAAAGGGACTGATATGAAGATGAAAGCTTCTTTGATTGCTGGTCAATAGGCAAAATTAATTACTCTGTGTGTGTGCACACACACGCCAGTTCAGGGACTTTGAACTCAGGGCCTGGGCACTGTCCCTTAGCTTTTCTGGCTCAAGGCTGAGGCTCTACAGATTGAGCCACAACTTCTTTTTTGGCTTTTTGCTGGCTAATGGGAGACAAGAGACTCACAGGAGTTGGTAAGGTGGATCAGTGGCCGAATGCTTGCCTTGCATGTATGAGACCCTGAGTTCAATTCCTCAGCACCATTTAAGCAGAAAAAGCTGAAAGTGGCGCTGTAGCTCAAGTGGTAGAGCGCTAGCCTTGAGCTGAAGAGCTGAGGCACAGTGCTCAGGCCCAGAGTTCAGGCCCACGACTGACAAAAAAAAAAAAAGAAAGAAAGAAAAAAGAGAAAGAAAAGAAAAGAAAAAGAGACACAGATTTTTCTTGACTGGGTTGGCTTCAAACTGTGATCCTCAGCTTCTAGCCTTCTCTGTAGCTATGATAACAGAATTGAGCCACTGGTGCCTGGCCAAAATCAGTTCCTCTATAACTTAAAGAGACTAGCCATCTGAATATCGACCTGACTTTACTGTCAATCTGTTATGTAAAATATTCAATTACTCCTAAATGCTTAGAATGGAGAGATATGGGATGGATGGATCTTTAGGAAAGATTAGAAATCCTTGTCAAAGGGGGAAAAAAGAAAAAAGAAATATTTGTTCAACATCCACTGATAAAAATTGCAGTCATTTGTGTAAAGTAAGTATCTGTACCTTTGATGTCACATAACCTCCCCAGCTGCATATTCTGAAGTGTGTCAAAATCAGCAATGTGTTCTCGAACAGTCTGGTGGTATCCTACAAGGCAAAATCAAGAGAGAGCAAGTCCATAGAGCAGAGAGTTCAAAATGTCACAGCCCACACTCCCTCCGCAGCATCTTGCAGACACACTACAAATCCCAAGAACAAGGTCTGTGCTTCTCAAGGGATTAGTATGATTCTGCCCAGTGTAGAGAGAGGTTTAAAGTTTTCAATATCAACACAGCTCCTAAGAATCTGCATGGCACACACATGGAGATTTCTGACATGGAACTTGAGTGTTTATAATGGCAGGTAAGAACATTATGCTGTGTTTTAAAAAATGTTTGCATTTCAATGTGTGCATCCTGTTTTGAAAAGTTTCCAAACCAAAAAGTTTCCAACCATTTTGAAAAGTTTCCAAAACGGTAAGAGAAAGCATGAGGCCTTGGTTCAAGCCCCAGTACTGACATTAAAAAAACTGTACAGTTTCAATGAGCCAAGAGAAAAAAAAAACTCAATATCTATTATACAACATGAGTAGGGTTAAACATTATGTATTATTAGTAGAGATTGTAACAATAAATATGCCAGGCTTAAAAAAAAAGAAAAAGGGAGGGTAGGGGAGGGAAAGGAGAAAAATGAGAAAAGGGCCAAGAAGTTTGACAAGAAATGTACTTATTACCTTACTTATGTAACTGTAACCCCTCCGTACATCACCTTGACAATAAAAATAATAATAAAGAAAAAAAGAAAAAGAATGTGTCCTAGTATTTGGTTTATAAAATATACATAATTTATAGGTGGACCTGTTGCAACAATGAGAAGTACAAGTTGTCATGTCGAAAACGAACTTTACAACTTGGGGTGGGGGAGGATTGGATAGGGGGGGAGGGAAGATGGGAAGGATGGGAAGGGTAAACAAAGGAGGAGGCTACAATGCTGGATAAAAAATGTACTCATTATCTTGCCCATGTAATTGTAACCCCTCTGTACAGTATTTTCACAATAAAAAAATAAATAAAAATATATACATAATTTCACACAAATCCATTCTTATTTTCAGGAATTCCTATTTAAGAAATTTTCATATCAGAGATGTACAAGACACTATGTTGAAAAACGAACTTTACAATTTAGGCGGGAGGTGGGGGTGGGGAGGGGAGTATAGTTGAGGAGGTGGGAGGGAAAGGATGGTAGGGAAAAACAAAGGAGGAGGCAACAATGTTTGATAAGAAATGTACTCATTACCTTGCTCATGTAACTGTAACCCCTCTGTACAGTATTTTCACAATAAAAATATATAAAAAAGAAATTTTCATACCAAAGAAATATACTCAGCACACATGCGCGTGTGCGTGCACGCGCACGTGCACACACACACACACACACACACACACACACACACACACACCAATACTGAGACTTTAATTCAGGACCAAAGTACTGTTCCTTAGCTTTTTCATTCAAGGTTGGCACTCTACCACTTGAGCCACAGTTTCATTTACAGCTTTTTGGTAATGAATTGGAGATAAGAATCTTGTGGATTTTCCTGCCTAGGATATCATCAGAGCTCAGCCTTCTGAGCAGTCAAGATTACAGAAGTGATCCACCAGTGCCCAGCTTATTTTGGCTTTTTAACTTACATGACATTTTCAAAGAGTATCCCAGACTTGTTCTATACCAACACACAGATCTTACATAAATTTATTACCTACTGTCATGAGTACATATTTAAAGAATTCTCACATCAAAGAAATAGGCTTCTACTATCAGTGAAAACAACTTTTAGCCTCCAAAGAGCAATAAAGGTTAAAATAATTACTTTGTTAGTACTAAGAAAGTCCTTTAGTTTGCCCTCGTTTCTACTGGAAACAGAATAGAAAGAAAACACAGATTACTATTGTCAAAAAAAATCCAGGCAAGAATTAGTATCAGAAATACTTTCTGTTGATATTTCAAATTTTAAAAAAAAGTGGACCGAAGCATAAACTTTCAATGCATGTGTGCATATCTAGAAGCAGGTAGAACTGCTTATATGAAATTCAGCAATTGGAAGTGCAACTTTTTTTTTTTTTTAATAAAACTGCTTTTCACATTTTGAAGAGATGCTTCAATGCCTCCTTGTGGTTACTGAGCCCAAGTTCAACTGCTGGAGATAATGCGATTTTATGGATTATATCTTCAAGATGTGACACAGATGTCCTTTTTACCCATAAAGGAAAACTATAGCAACTCAAGTGCTAGGGCTTCAGATCAAATAGGGCTACAGACAAAATGAACTCTGATAATTTAGCTCTTTGCTTTGATGTCAGTGTTTAAACACTAGATGATGTCTGGAAATTAAATGACTTTACAATTAATCCAAGTCTCTCTTTGTTTTAAGTATATGATGGAAGAATTAAAGAGACAGACAGGCTAGTGAGCTGTTTAAATTATTAGAAATTATATAGAAAAATTATTAATTTCTCAATAATTAGAGAGCTAGTCTATATAGAAAGCTAACAGAGACAGGTATAATTTCAATGCTATCTTTTTGTATGAGTGCAATATTATCACCTTTAAGATTTTGCATACATAAATCTATATTCAGATAAATGTTTACAAAGATGCAAATAGTCTATTTTTTAAGTCCTAAAGGAAGAAGTACAATCAAGGGCCTGAGAGCATTCTGTGGCTGTGTTTTCTTTAAAAAAATATAAAGCTAGCAAAAGATGTCTCATTAATCGGATGTACAATTTGAAATATAAAAGATGCTCAAACACTTTGCAGCTGTATATGCATCCAGTGAGTGAATAAGTCTGTGCTTTATTCAAGTGCCTGAGGTCAGTTTCCCAACAAATTACTTAGTACCTGTTACCGCTGATCAAAGATGCATATTAACCGTACCTGCAGAATTATGACATAGTTACTCAGCCTAACCAATATACTCATCTTACAGAATTGCATGTGAGCGAACTTAGAACATTGGTATGGTGGATTGCATAAAGCAATATATAGAAAAATATTTTCAAGGGGCTGAGAAGTTGGCTCAGTGGTAGAGCGCTTGCCTTGCATGCCTGAGGCCCTGGGTTCGATTCCTCAGCACCACATAAGCAAAAAGAAAAAAGCCGGAAGTGGCACTGTGGCTCAAGTGGTAGGGCACTAGCCTTGAGCTGAAGAGCTGAGGGACAGTGCTCAGGCCCAGAGTTCAGGCCCCACAACCGGACCCAAAAAAAAAAAAAAAAAGAAAAATATTTTCAAGACTGTGAAGTGCTGTATAAATGTCAAGTGTTTTGATCTTACAAGCTAGGTGAATTTCTAAAGCATACAACAATGAATTCTGTGATAAGAAATGTAGTCATTTCTGAAAACATGGGTACTTCAAAGCTCGGTCCAGGAACACTGGGAAGTGTCGAAAGACTTAGCCTGCGATACATGTAAAAGTCAGGGTAAGCACCTTATCTCTTGTCTAAAACCACATAAACCTATAAATTATCATCTGGTTCAGACACTATATATTTAGTACTTGTGACCAATGTAAGTATGCAAAAGGCAGGAATTCTTTTGACTTTAATTTTCTAGTTTGCTGTGGTACGAAGAATAGCCCTTCAACCAGGCCCATATTCTAATCTCCAGAACCAGTAAATACATTAGGCAGCATTACAAAGGGGAAATAAAATTGTAAGTGAAACTAAAGTTACTGATCATTTGACTTGAAAATAAATATACTGTCCTTAATGACCTGGCTAAGCCTCATATAATTATAAAAGTCCTTAAAAATAGAAGAGTTGCCAGGTGCTGGTGGCTCACGCCTGTAATCCTAACTGAGGAGGCTGAGATCTGAGAGAGAATCCCAGTTTAAAGCCAGCCTAGGCAGGAAAGTCTGTGAGATTCGTCCTATCTAATTAACCACTCAAAAGCCAGAAGTAGACGTGTAGCTCAGGTGACAGAATGCCAACTTTGAGTAAAAAAAAGCTAAGGGACAGTGCTCAGGCCCTGAGTTCAAGCCTCATAATTGGTACACACAGGGACACATACATAAATGAAAGAGAGAGGCAAAGAGTAGAAGTGAAGGAAGTGATGACTTCAGAAGAAAGGCAGCACTGCTGGCCTTAAATATGAAGGAAACGAAGAGCCTCCTTTGTGCTTCCTTTGTGAGTGGCTTCTTTTCTCCCTTGGAGCCTCCAGAAAGAAATTCAGCTCTACTGATTCTCTGCTTTTAGTGCCTTTAAACATCTGAAGTACAGAACTCTGATACCCTTCCTTCCTTGCTTCCTTCCTTCCCTCCATCTTGTGCAAGTACTGGGGTTTGAACTTAGGACCTGGGTACTGTCTCTGAGCTCTCTTGACCAAGGCTAGTGCTCTACTACTTGAGCCACAGCTCCACTTCTAGCTTTTTGGTGGTTAGCTGGAGATAAGAATTTCATAATCTACTGCTCAGGCTGGTTTCAAACTGTGATCCTCAGATCTCAGCCTCCTAAGTAGCTAGGATTACACACATGAGCCAACAGCACTGGGCTTCCAATATGCTCTTTTTTTTTTTTTTTTTTTTTTGGTCATGGGGCTTGAACTCTGGGCCTGGGGGCTGTCCCTGAGCTCTTCAGCTCAAGGTGAGCACTCTACCACTGGAGCTGCAGCACCACTTCCGGTTTTCTGGTGGTTAATTGGACTTTCCTGCCGGGGCTGGCTTTGAACCACATTCCTCATCTCGACCTCCTCAGTAGCTAGGATTACAGGCGTGAGCCACTGGTGCCCAGCTTCAATATGCTTTCTTGAGTGGAGGAAAAAGGATGGAGTTACTGCACTGTTACTGTTACCCTGTGTGTGCCACAGGGAAGATGTGGCTCACTGAAAACCATCGATCATGTGTTTTGAAATGGGAAAAAGTCTGAGAATTACTACTTCAAACCATCAAACTGGCCAGGGTGAGCAGATGAAAAGCAACTGCGAGGTCACCAGGAGTCTTTCGTTAACTCCTTCTCTGCTTTGAGTACCACTGTAGAGAATCAGTCTTAAAAAGAAACTGGGAGTCAAGCACAGGTCAGCAGGCCAAGGGTTCAGGAACATGTGGTCTCTTA